AAAAAATTTAAAAAGTAAAAAGAAATATGGAAACACAATGCACTGGGAAAATCTGCAGTTAGAGATTTTTCCAAATTATTGAGGAGTAGTGATGTCATTTTGAGGACCAAGGTGTTTCTGATTCAGGCTATAGTCTGGTTACTAGCTATGCATGCGAGAGCTGGACATGAACAAGGATGGCGGAAAAAGAATTTGCACCTTAGAGCTGTGGTATTGGAGAAGAGCACTGAACATCCCATGGATGGCCAAGAGAACACACAGATCTTTCTTGGAGAGGGTACAGCCGGAGTGCTCTTTGGAGGCAAAAATGATGAGGCTTCACCTCAGATACTTTGGACATATGGCTAGGAGGTGCTACTCCTTGGAGAGGGACGTGATGTTGGGAAGGGTGGAGGGTTGGCAAAGGAGAGGAAGACCCTCAACCTGGTGGAATGACATGGTGGCTGCTGCAATGGGCTCTTGTGTGTCAGGAAGTGCGAGGAGGACAGGACTGGGTTCAGATATTTTGTTCACAGGGTTGCTATGAGTTGTACTTTACTCAGTGGCACCTAATAACAAGAAGTTTAATTACTGTAGAAATGAGTGCCTTCCTGTTACTTCCTCTCAAAATTTCTTCTAGAGGCAACATGAAGTACTTAAAACACTTTTCTCGGATTTTTCATTGATGTATTAACTCCAAAGATAAAAAGATAATTTCTGACAGTAGTTAGTAGCAAGGATAAGTAAAGCTTCTGACAACTCTGGCCCTTTTCCAATATTAAAGTTGATGTATTATTTTATAAATACATAACTATATGTATCAACAAAATAGAATGACACAGTGACTGTAACAATGGGCTTGATTAAACCAGAATATGACACAAGATGGGGCAAAGTTCAGATCTGTATCACTGGGTTGTTATGAGTTGTAGTCTACCAGACAACACACCACAATAACAATACATTATTTTAAGTAACTTAACATTCTAGTTTTTAACAGTTTTTTAAGTCAATTTTAGCCTTTATATCAAATTTTGACTTAAATAGCAGAATTTTAGTGAGACTAGATTTGACTTATTTTTGATAGTCTTACAAAAAATACTATTTATCAACAAAATACAAAGCAAACCCAAACCAATACTCTCAGGTTTCCAAGGCAGTAAATGATTACTGGGGACAGACATCTTCCTCCCAGGGAGCCGAGGGCTCAAACTGATTAGGTAGCACCTCAAAACAAGACACAGTGCAAACAGGGCTTCTTCTTTTTTTTTTTAGGGCTTCTTAATAGCAAAACATTTCATTACAAATCAAGTAAATTTGCATACTGTCTACCTTAAGGCAGAGAAACAGAATCTCTGTGGATCAGTGTGTACCAGAATTGACTTTGAAAGCACTTCTTTAAACTGAACAGAGGCAATCACAAAAGTCTCTAACTCCCTTTGCACTGGAGTTTTAAATACCAGTAGAAATTTAAAATTCCACCAGCAAGAACTTTTTCTGTCTTCAAGTTAGAAGTGACTCAGAGTCCACTCCACTGGGTTTCTGAAGCTGTAAATTGCACAGAAGATTGTTTCTCTTTCTTTCTCAGAATTGTTGGTAGATTTAACTGTCAACTGGTAGCAAGCAGCGTTAACTACAGACTATGCCATAAGAATTCAACACTGTAAGCTATATCTGAGTGTGTTTTGTTTTGTTTGGGGCTTACCTAAATCTTGAAAATTCTACTCTCCTAACTTAGCTGAATAGTGCTTAACATATGGATCAGGCTGCCAACTGAAAGATCCGCAGTTCAAAATCACCAGCTACTCTGTGGGAGAAGGATGGGTAAGACTCAATGGAGGGTCACTATGAGTCAGAACTGACTCCAGTGGAAACAATCTAAGTGCCCATCAACAAACGAATGGATAGAGAAGCTGTGGTATATTTACACAATGGAATACTATGCTGCATTGAAAAACAAGGAACTCATGCAATACTATTCAAAATGGATGACCCTGGAGGACATTATGCTGAGTGAAGTATCTCAGTCACAAAAGGACAAATACTGCATGGTGCCACTATTGTAGAACAGGACTGACCTCGGGGTTGGGGGGAGAAAGATGGGTTCAATAATGTATACTGCACGTAAACAGATGAGGGAGGAAACTGTTTAAAAGGGATATGTGATTAGGTATTTTTGTCATGACAGGAGTCCAGAGCAAAGGCTGCATAGTGGAGTGGGCCGGGGAGGGTTTATAAAACAATGAAAGAATTTTTCTTTTACTTTTCCAAGAGGATAGTGTACTGGAAGGGAGGGTTGGGAAGGTAGAAAAGTGCAACAGTGAATGAATGGAAACCCAAAGTCTCTGTAAATTTTCATTGAAATGAATAATAAATTAAAAAATCAAAAACAAAAACAAAAACTGACTCCAGGGCAGTCAGTAAAGAGGACTGTATGACACATTTGTATGCAACAGAAATAGATTTTTATCTTAAGAATATAAGACTTTCTGCTATCTGAAAATACCCAGGAGTACTAAAAAATTAATTAGACTTTTATTAGAACATAATTTATTATTTGTTTCCACACAACTATAACTATATATAGAAAATAATTAACCACACTATTTAGAAAGCCAAACTTAGGAAGAAAAAGGCACATATATATTTTCTACCTCCATTTTTTTCCCTTCTATGACTAGGAATAATTTAATTTTCTCTAATATCATAGGTGAACTTTTCGAAATTATTTTATTCTTTGTTTAGGTAAATGATCTTATCTTACTTCTAATACCACCATTCCTGGCTCCTGTATAACAGTGATATTTTTGAACACTTTCAGAGCAGGTTTTTCTTGAATTTCTATTTCTTCTACATCACCTGAGAAAAGAAGGAATTATAAGATATGCATCATTCTATGATAATCTCCCAGAAGCACAATGATTCACAGTTGCGATAAAGCTGATAGATACAGAAAAACGTAAATCTCATTTGTATAGTTGATTTTAAACAGTTAAATTAGTTTATGTTACTTACTCATAGTAACTAAAGGATTTCTACTTGTAGGATAAAAATTCATATAACTAGTTAGGACTCACCTTGGACATTAAACATTTTATCAACAGAGCAAACTAGCAATTTTGAAACATCTATGTACAAGAGATTATACTTTCCATGAGCATCTTAACATTTACTAAGACACTACTCAAATGCTACATACTTCTATCTTGTTTTTCTAAGTTTAATCATTTTAAAAGGTCATTCTATTTGTCAAGAAAGAGACTTTTATGATTTTCCTACTAACCTCTTAATCAAGGATTAACCCAGATATTTGTTTTAACTTTCTAGGTTGCAATTAACAATTTGAACATGAGATTCTGAGGTTTAAAAACATTTTCTAACAGTTTCTTTTACAAGAGTACCTTATGAATCATGAACAGCATATGAATAAATATGTATTTTATAATTTGAAAAGTGTTCCTGCTTTATTAAGAAAGTCCACATATTCTTTAATTTAGCCACAGCCCCTCAAAAACAACAAAGGTTTTAATTCAAAGTGGTCAACAATAAAAACAGAATAGGCTTACTACATATCAATGGCATATGATCAATGATTATGTACCTCTATCAAACCTACATTTAGACTGGCACTACTAGAGAAGAGAGCAAAAGGTCACTACAAAGACAGAGGAGAAAGAAAAAAACAAAATGGATATAAAAATGGACTCTGAAAATTTTACTAGAGTGTCAAGAAGTCAAAATAGAGGGAAGAGATGCTGAAGTCAAAGAGCTGAGCAGAAGATTTCAAAGAGCAGCTGGAGACAACAAAGCAAAGTATTTTAACGGAATGTGTAGAGAGCTGGAATGGGAGAATAAAAAGGGAAGCCTTCACTTGGTATTTTTCAAACTGAAAGAACTGAGAAACAAATTCAATCCTTGAGTTGCAATACTAAGAGATGCTATGGGCAAAATCTTGAAATGATCCAGGAAGCATTAAAAGAAGATGGAGGAAATAGAATCACTACATCAAAATGAATTAATTGGCCAAGACTGAAATATTTCAGATATGCCCAAGAGCCAATGGTAATGATAAAGAAGCTGAAGCTGTCTTCAATGGGGAATAAAACAAGGTCCCAACAATCATTGGAATGCCAATTGACATGTTTCAACTAACAGATACAGCCTCGAATGTGCTTACCAGTCTATGTCAAGGAATTTGGAGGACAGCTGCCTGGCTGACTGGAAAAATCTATATTTATTTTCATTCCCAAGAAAGATGATCCAACAGAATGTGGAAATTATTGAACAATATCATTTATACACATGGGAATCCCAGAACACTTGACTGCACTTATGTGAAACCTACACTTGGGACCTGGAGGCAGTCATCAGAATAGAGCAAGAAAACACTGCATGATTCAAAAACTGGGAAGGGTGTACACCAGGGGTATGTCCTATCTCCCTACCTTTTCAATCTATATGCAGAGCAGATTATCTGGGAGGTTGGGCTCTATGAGAAGTGTGGCATCAGGATTGGAGGAAGGACTCATCAACAATCTGTGTTATATAGATGACACAACCTTCCTTGTTTGCTGAAACTGAGGAGGACCTGAAGCGTTGCAGAAGGTCAAGAACTGCAGCCTTCCATATGGACTGAACCTCAACATTAAGAAAACAAAGATTCTTACCACTGGATCAATAGGCAGCATGACAGATGGTGAGGAGATTGAGATTATTAACAGCTTTAGTTTACTTGGCTCAACAATCAGTAGTTTTGGTATCAGCAGCCAGGAAATTAAAAGATGAAATGCATTGGTAAAGTTTGCTGTTAGAGACCTTTCCAAATTACTGAAGAGCAACAATGTCAGTCTGGACACTAAGGTGCGCCTGATTTGAGCCACAGTCTTTGCAATTACTTGCTATGCACCAGAAAGCTGGACAATGACTAGGGATTATAGAAGGATAACTGATGCCTTTGAGCTGTGGTGCTGGAGAAGAGTGTTCAATATACCATGGACTGCTAGGACAAAAACAGGATCGTCCCAGAGAGGGTGAAACCAGGCTGCTCCTTGGAGACAGGGATTCTGAAGCTTCATCTGACCTACTCTGGACATTTTGCAAGAAGGGATCAGTCCTTGGAGAGAGACGTCATGCTTGGGAGGGTGGAGGGACAGTGTAAGAGAGGAAGATCCTCAATAGGATGGATTGATTCATAAGGTTAGGTGTATCAGAGACAGTAAGATTGGTACAGGACAGGGCAAGTTTCAGGGCTACTATATACAGGGTTGCTATGAGTCGCTGGCAACTCAACGACACATAACAACAACAACAACAACAACAACAACATTAATACCACAGGCAAGCAAAATATTGCTGAAGATCACAGAAACTCAGCTAGAAAAGTACATTGACAAGGAACTGCTAGAAGTTCAAGCTGAGTTTAAAAGATGCCATGATACATGGAATATCACTGCTGCTGTCTGATGGATCTTGGTTGAAAGAACAGAATTACCAGGAGAATGTTTATTTATGCTTTATTGACTATGCAAAGGCATTTGACTGTGTGGATCATAGCAAATTATGGCTAACATTGAGAAGAATGGTAATCCCAGAACACTTAATTTTGCTCATGTTAAATTTATACCTAAACTAAGAGGCTGCTGTGTAAACAGAACAAGGGAAAACCACATGGTTTAACATTAAGAAAAGTGTATGTCAGGGTTATACTCTCTCTGCTTATCTATTCCATTTATATATGGAGCAAATAATTCAAGAAGCTGGCATATTGGAAGAAGAATGTGGCATCGGGATTGAAGGCAGACTCATCAACAACCTATCAATATGTAGATGACACAACCTTGCTCGTTGAAATTGATGAGGACTTAAAGCACTTGCTGTAGAAAATTTAAGACCACACTCTTCAATATGATTACATCTCAACATTTAGCAATCAAAAATCCTCATCACTGGACCGATAGTTGGCAACATAATAAATGGAGAAAAGATGGACTCTGTCAATGATTTAATCTTATTTGGATTCACAATCAACACTCTTGGTAGCAGCAGTCAGGAGACCAAGAGACGTACTGAACTGGCAAAGTCTGCAGTCAGGGACCTCTCCAAATTATTGAAGAGCAATAATGTCTGCTTGAAGGCCAACGTGTGCCTGATTTAGGCATTGGTTTTTTTCAATCACTTTCTATACATCTGATAGCATAAGGATGACAGAAGAATTATTGATGCCTTTGAGCTATGGAGTTGGAGAAGAGTACTGAATTTGCCATGGACTGCTAAAAGAACAAACTGACGGATATGTCTTGAACAAATTATATCCAGAGTGCTCTTTGAAGGCAAAGCTGACAAAGCTTCTTCTCACATACTTTGGGCAAGTGGTTAGGAGAGACTATTCCTAGAGAGGGACGTTATGCGAGAGACAGGAAGACCCATACCAGATGGATTCACACAGTGACTGCAGCAATGGGCTCAAGTAGGTCAGAAATTAGGAAGCTGGCACAGGACATATCTGTTGTTAATAGGGTCATGATGAGTCTCACTCACCTTAATGACACCTAACAACAACTAGAGTTATAAAAATTTTTTTCAATGAAAAAAAATTAAAATAGATGAAATTTTTGATGGTCAAGTAAAACAGTTTGAATACGTATTATTGATATTTTTTGAATTTCAAGTGGATCAAAAAGAGGTCCTCCTTGTAGTTCAACTTTCTGCCAAACAACAGGCATGTAAAACAAACATAACACCAAGGAGGTACTTACTCCTTGAACAGCCATATATAATCAATAAGGCAGCATTTGTCCAGGGATAAAGCTCAGAAGGCGGCAAGATGAATAGAAAGGAGAATCACAGGGAACAGTGGTTACTATGTGAAAATTCTAAATAAGGTCATAAACTGAAATGTATATAAATGATTGTATTGAAACCAATCTACTTTGTAAGTTTTCACTCAAATGACACACACAAAACATTTTTAAAAGCATAGGAGACATTGTTGTTTGGTTGGTAAGGGCCATCGAGTGGAGCACAACACACACAGCAACCCTATAACTATTGTCATTTCTCCAAGTTCATAGACTTTCCAGAGGCATGTGTTTAGGAAGTGGATGCCACTCCTGCTTTCAAGCCTGTCTCAATCTTGGAGCTCCACCAAACACTGTCCATGATGGGTAGGCATTATGGTGTTTGACACACCAGTGGCACAGCATTCAGCATCACAGCAACCCCAAGTTACTTCAGTACAGCAAACTGACAAACCAATAATGCTACACCACTTAGAAGAATGTTTTATCCCAAACATAATTAACACTAGGCCTGAAGGCAGCAGGCACAAGGGGCCAACCACCTTTTAAACACAAGGCCCACCCAAGGAGTCTTAGTTGACTCTAGGCTTCCAGCTCACAGCTTTTTGTTAGCTAAATCAAATCAGCTCACACGAGATTATGAAGGGGAAAAAAACCCAACAACCAAACAGTCCACACAGGACCCTCACCAAAACAAGTTAACCTACCTTCCAGAATCCAACTGCTTCACACATGAGCATCATGAGATAAAAATTTCGAGAACCAAGTACAAATAAAATGTATACAATTACCAAAATTAAAGAACATATTTTCTTAGAAGTAAGTAAACATACCTGTCAATTTCTGCAGCTGGTAATACAGGAGATTAAAAGGACCAGTATATGGGATGGCTTGAGTTTGTTTGACAGTGCTCATGGCTAGATCGGTATAATCTGCAGAGAAAATTAGAATATATTTTAATAAATGATTCTGGTTCCACAAAATTTATTTTGCAAACAAATATGAACAATAAGGAAAAATTAAGTAACTGCACAATGTAAATGAGAAGATATTATCAGAAACTTAACAAAGTCCTTCTTAATTTGGTTCCAGTCTACATATCTACTCATTGTTGTTGTTGTTATGTGCCATCGAGTCGCTTGCGACTCATAGCAACCCTGTGTACAAGAGCCCTAAACACTGCTCTATCCTGTGCCAACCTCGCTGTCTCTGACACACTCATTACCCCCACTCCAATCCCAGAATCTATCCATCTCATCGACGGTCTTCCTCTCCTATGCCATCCCTCCACTATTACGAACATGATGTCCCTCTCCAAGGACCAGTCCCTTGTAACATGCCCAAAGTATGTCAGACGAAGCTTCAGAATCCTTGACTCCAAGGAGCATTCCAGCTTCACCCTCTCCAGGACAAACTTGTTTGTTCTCCTAGCAGTCAATGATATATTCAACACTCTTCTCCAGCACCATAGCTCAAAGGTAACAATTCTCTTTCTATCATCCTCAGTCAGTCAGCCCGGAT